ATTGTTTTGTCCCTTGTGGTTCTCGATTGATTGACTTGAGATAGGCCTACCTTATGCTCGATTATCGTTGTAAACGTGTTATGCTATTCATTTGTAGTGCATCTCGATCGACTATGTGTTTATGTGATTACACTTATGATGTACGTTTGTGTCACTCCCTTCGAAAAAAAAAAAAGGAATAAAACGTGAGTTCGCGAGGAGGTACGGACTAGGCTCCTCTTATCCCGAGCCACCTCGTGGAATGGGATAATGAGCCCGGAAAACCGGTCTAGGGAACTCGAGTGACCAATCGAGGACACACCTAGATAAGTATTGTCTAGGAAACCTCGTTCGGAAAAAGAAGCTCACATAAAAAAAAAAGAGAAAAAAAAAGGAAAAAAAAAAAGAGAAAAGAATGGGAGTTGGCTTATTGGTTCGTGCTTATTATATTCTACATGTTTAGTGGACCGCATTTGACTTTTTGCACGTGTATGTAGAAAAGGGTAGCTTAAATCGAGAAAATCATGTGTAGGATGACTTGGGACGGATTTTTGTTTTGTATGTGTTCATTTCGTGGGGAACATGTTTTCGAACTTGAGTTTGATTCAATGGATTACCGAATGAAAAGGAGAGTCTCATTTTCGCATGATTGTTAACTTTGGACCTCTCGATATTTCTTTTTGAACTACTTATTATTTTGTTTGCTTGAAGACAAGCAAAAAGCTAAGTGTGGGGGAGTTGTTTATTGTGTTTTTGTGCTTATTTTCGTGTGATTTATGTGTTCTAGTTTAGTATTTTTAGGTTCGTTTTTCTGTCAACCGGTCCATTTTGTCGTGTTTTATGTATTTTCACTTTTATTATGAGTTTTTGTATTTTGGCCGTTTTTCTTGCGTATTTTGGTGTGTTGTGTAGGTCCAATTGGTACGTTCGGGAAGACGGGTAATTATTCTAGCCATTTACGAGCCATCCGAACCGGCATTGAGTCACCCAAGTCATTTGTTCGAGCCGCGAATCTAACACTAAGTTAACCCAACCACTGCCCGAACTCGCAGCCAAACCACACTCGCGACCTGCCAAGTGCCGCATCTACAACACCCCATCCTTGCCCAGGAACTCGCTGCGAAAGTCCACTCGCGAGCTGCGAACGCGCCCCCTGGCAGCCTTGGTAGAACTCGCTGCGAAGTAACACTCGCGACCTGCGAAGCGGCAAGCCCCCAAGGTTGAACTCGCTGCGAACTTCAATTGGCGACCCGCGAACGTGAAATTTCAGTGCATTTTCACTCCAAACTCGCAGCGAACAAGGTTTGGCGACCCGCGAACGCGCCCAACTGCACTATTCCATGCCATAACTCGCTGCGAACCATGTTTCGAGACCCGCCAACTGAAGAATTTCATTAAATGTATGTGTTTTTAGTGTGTGTTTGTGTTAGGGGTATAAATATGTATTGTGTGTGTAATTTTTGGGACAACCCCCTCATTTCCCAACTCTTGAGTTGGGAAAAATCCTCTCCCTTCTCTCTTGTTCTTTGCTTGGTTTGGAGGAGGTCCTCACTTGACATTTTCCGGCGAGTTTTCCGGCGAGTTTTCCGGTAACTTTTCCGGCAACTCTCTTTTTATCTAAATTTCATTCTCTACGCATTATTTTCGTTTAATTTTGCTATAGGAAAATAGGTACCTAGCTTAGGGCTTATTATTTCGATTTGTGATTTGATTGGAATGATGTGTTTAGAATCGTTTTTAGACTTTGTCTTATTTTCATTGCTTGTTTACGTGTGTTAGGATTCGATACGTGCTTATCTAGTATAGAGGTCCCGACTTTCTCGAAGCGGGATGATCTAGTGTAGAAGGCTCGTGTTCGGATACCTAGGATCACTAGGCTCGCATGTTTTCTTTTTGTTGTTTTTATTTTCGTCAAGTGTGGAGACTCCGTGCAACCAAAGTTCGACATTTCTTTCGATTCTTGCTTTTTCATTAATTGCTTTTAAATTATTAGAATAATTTAGTGTAATCAACCCACAATCAAGCGAGTAGAATGTTTAGGACCTTATTTTCGGTTGTGTGAATTGACGACTAGATAGTGAACGAAGCTCCGAAGAGCCTTCCTTTGAGAACGACCCGAGTCGGGTAACTCGGTTACCACATGCCCAAAAATACTACAAACAGTATTGTACATATATTGTAGATATATTGCGAAGCTCGAAATCGCAAGACCAATCAAATTTCACACCGTACAAAAAAAAGAAAAAAAAAAACCAAAAAACCGTACCCAGATAAATTGGTATATAATTAAGATCAATTCTGGGGAAATTTGGCCTGACTTCATGATCCCCAACCCATTTTGACGCTCGCAAATCGCAATCGCTCCAAACAACCGTAACCAGGTAAATTCGTCTAAAATTAACAGCAAACTACGTGGAGATATGGCTTGATTTCATGATCCCCAAGCCATTTCCGAAGCTCGAAATCGCAAGACCAATCGATTTTCAATCGTACAAGAAAACAAAAAAATCTAAAAAACCGTAACCGGGTAAATTTGTTTGAGGTAGCCTCCGAGCAGCCCATCGCGATCACTTTCCTCCCGTTCACGAGACCACCGGAGATGGCCCCGCATACGAACAGCACCGCGCCGGAGAGCCGTCCGAGATGCCACAAGTCTCAGCCGCACCAGGTCGAGGAAAGTCGCGATCCGCTGCAGCCCTAGCGTCGGCGATCGATCTCCAGCCGTCCTCGCCGTCGCAGCCGCGAAGCAACGACCGCACCTTGACGGGGAGGCAGAACGCCACCTCTCCGACACCACCCCAAATTGCCGCCCCTTGAGCCGACGGCGCCCATTCCCATCGCCGTCAATAGCCAATTTCAGCCAGGTGTAATTGAGTAGTTGAAAATGGAAGAAAATTAAAAGAGGAATTTTTAGAAGTAAATTTGCAGTGAAGAGGGTGAATTTGAAGAAGAAGAAATGGAGATCTGCGAAGGAGGAGAAGTAAAGGAAGAGAAAAAGAAAAGTGACGGGGAATAAGAAGAAAAGAAAGAGGAAGAGGAAAAGAAAAGGGAAAAGAAAAGAAAAATTTATTAATTATCTCAATTAATTCATAACTGATTCATTTTTCATATTTAAATCCTAGTTAATAAACTTATAAAATCTGGTATATGTGCAAATATACAACATAGCTTTTAGTCCAAAGCAAGTCGGGGTAGGCTAGAGATGAAACCCAAGAAAAACACAAAAAGACTCGAACCAAAAGGAAGAGATCGAAAAAAAAAAAGAAAACAAAACGAGAGAGAGAGAGAGAGAAAGGAGCAAATATGTTGGAATGATTTTATATTTTTGCAAATAAATATTAATTGGATATAAATATGTAATATAAAATATATATGATTGTATGGAGTGTAAATTCCTCTATAAACAATGGGCATTAAATCCTAATACAGGCATAATCAGTAGAAAGCTGATATTATGTAGTTGTTAGAAAATAGGCCCCATATGGACAAATTTCTTTGGGAAATTTTTACATATCCTACAAGAAATTGAAAATTTTACAAATCTACCATCTATAAACAAATAATTGTGTGTATACCTAATTGTCAAGATTTAACTATATTTATGCCTAAAATTCAGTTACCTAAAAAGTGAACTCATGATTTATGCCGTTTCCAAACAAAATTCAGTTACCTAAAATTCAGTTACATTTAACTACAAGTAATCTACCATCCATAATAGTGGCATGATTTCCGCCGTTTCAAAGAAAAAAAATAAAAATAAAAAACTAAAGTGGGTGACCAAAATCACGATGAAGTGTGTCAGTGGAATGAACATCAAGGGACGTAGCTGAAGATACAAAATCATGTTTAGCTGGGGGTGTCGATAAGTGCGCCTTTTTATGTATTGCGAATAAAAATCAGAAAACTAACTGTGTTGCGGAGAAAATGGAAAAATAGGAAATTTGAATTTGAAGCTCGTCATTGATATGGAAGTGTATATCTTAGGTATATTTTATGTATATGTGGGTTCTAAACGAGATCCGTAATTCAGGGATCGATGTATATCTTAGGTATATTTTATGTATATGTGGGTTTTGAAATCGGTTTTGACAAACGATTGAAACTCGAGTGTATAATTAAAGTTTATTTTATGTATATGTGTATCTCGATCTGTCGCTGACTTTACGAGAATCACGAGTGTATATTTCATGTATGTTTTATGTATATGTGTGTTGTACAACTTTGGTATATATTGTATATACCCGCGACGTGTAAATTTTCATATTTGATGGTAAACATATAAATCATGTACAGAATTTCATACCCGAAATATATAATTTTTCATACCCCGAAACATATACTGAAAATATATTGTATATACCCGCAACATATACCTGCAACATGTACAGAATAAAACTAACTAACTATCAACGAATCAAGCACACCAAGTGTTCGACCATTGAGAAGTTTTTCGTCAAAACAGATTCAATCATGGCCAATACAACACCAAGTTATTCGTCAAAAAAAATATGAATACCAAAACAATACCAAGTTATTCAGTATATGATGCAATGAAAAAAAATGTATATGTTGCAACGAAAAAAATGTTCCCCATTTTAGTATATATTCAGTATATTAGGGAGTGAAACATTTTAGTATATATTCAGTATATGTTGCAATGAAAACAATGTCTTCCATCAAAAAATTACATCTTCCTCTTTTTTTCTCTTTTTCTTTTCTTTTATACATAAAAGAATTTATATAGTTTAAAAACATATTATATCAGATTACTTATATTCCCTAAAAAAAATCTTCTAAATATACAGAACATATACTCCATAAACCCGCAACATATGCAAAAAAATCGAGCACATCAAGTGTTCGACAATAAATCTTATATTATATTATACAAAACATATACTTCATATATACACAACATATAAAAGTGGTATAGATTTCTTACACATCTGCATCAACATAATTTAAAATCATTCCTCGAGATTCAAGAACACTATGGTCAACAAGCAACATGAATGTATCATCTAATAAGCTTTATGTTTATGCGTGTCCATGAGTTGAGGAATTTCAAGCAAATCAAGCAAAGTATTATGATTTCCCAGTAATGTTTGGTTCATCTTCCTCTTCTCCAAAATATGTTCCGCAGAATCAACAAATTCAGTGCAACCAGATGTTAGTTTAGGAATTTCAGCTATCTGCAGAAGAGGACAAACACATGTGAATACCCATAAGTTTAAGTTTTCTTTATATTAAAAGAAAAAAACAACCAAAATTATTCAGAGGAAAGTACCAGGGACTCGAGATGTTTATCAATCGAAGTAACCTCCTCTCATATCTCGAGCAACGCATCCGCCGCCGCAATGAAAGCACGGTAATTGCCCACCGCCACCTCTTGCATATGCCGCCGTCTCAGCATCAACTCTCAACAATTTCGGTTCCTTCAAACAAAAAAATAAAGAGAAACAAAATCTTCAAATTACGAAGCTCAAAAGCGTAATCAAGCAATCCGAGTTCATGCTGAACCTTGTGGAGGCGATCAAGAGTGAACGAGAGGAGTTCGGAGAGTGTACGGGAATTCCAATTCCAAGATTTTGCAAACAGATAATAATGAACAAAACCAAATTAATAATTTCAATTCCCAGATTGAATTGTTCAAGCAAATCCCATATTTTTTGATATGAACAGAACGAACAAAAACGATGATGTGAAGAAGAGAACGAGAGGGGGAGATGAGAGACACATAATTGATGGAAAGTTACCATGTAAATAGGAATAAGAAGTTACCATGTAAATAGGAAATCAACTTTTTAGGCATATATGCAAATAAAAATAATAAATTTAGTTAATTTATAAATAATTATATATGGGATGTAATTATGTAATATTTTCACATTGTTTAAGTGGAGGATGTAATTTCATCTAAAACATTCTAAACATTTTCAGAGAACAATACAAGGAACTAATTTTGTATACCGAAAGAAACCCCTATTTCAATTATATCCATCTATACTCCTTTGTTTGTACCAAACTCGAAGTTGAAAAAAGAAGAATCGCCAAATGTAAATAAATAACGAACAAAATACAGCAAACGAAAACAAAATAACCAAAACAATTTCCCAAAGCACATTCACTCGGCCACAAACTTGATATCCGGATTCCTTATAGGCTTAAGCCACATATCCGCCATCACACGTGACGAGACGCTCCACAGCAGATCCGGGCCTTTACCCAACCCGACCCGTCTCCCCTTCTTACCCGCGCCCTTCCCCATCCCATGCGCCAGCAGCCACTGCAGGGCCGTAATCCTCTGCTTCTCCGAGTCCCATCCCATCATTTTCCCCGCAGTCCTCACCTTAACACCTCCAACCTCCATACTCCCCACCCTATACTTCCGCTCCTCCTCAGTTCTCCCACCCACACACGCCACGTGGATCACAACCATCATTGGTCCCCCCACCGCCTCATATTCCCTCACCGGATCCCTCATCTGCACCGTCAACAACAAATCCCCTCCATCCTGGCCGTTCATTTTCTCCCACTCCTCCACCGAAACAACCGAATCCAAAAACCCTGCGCCGCTCGATTTTCCCGACACGTCGAACGGCGCATCCTCCTCCGCCACGTCAGCCTGGATTCTCAGCCCCTCCAATGCCGCGCTCTCGATTTTCTGCAACGAAAACGGTAAAACCTCGTCCGCCGCGAGCGGCTCCTCGGCCACGCTCCATATCCCGGTCGAGACCCTCTCCCTCCGGCCCGCATTCGCCGCACGGGCCATGGCCCGCACGGCCTCGATCGAGCGGGCCGCGCTCGAGCTCGCGCCTTCCTCCTTGTTCCGTCCCGTGACGATGGCCGAGGCTATGCCCTCGAAGGCTATCTGCTCCGCAGTCTTCCCGTGCAGCTCTTCGAGGGGCGTCAGTGCCGTAATCCGCGAGGTGAGTTCTTCGAGCCCGACTCTGGCCATCTCGCGGAACAACTCAAACTCAATCTCGCCCGAGCGCGGGATGACAACTGGCCTAGACAGTTGCAGCGCGAGTTTCGGCACGTCCTTGCGCGCCACGCTGGCGTCCAGAGGGTTCGCGGCCAATAAGTACCCGCCGTTTCTCGTCTGGACCACACATCCGAGCCCTTTTCTGAGGTCGGGTAGGAACGACTCATTCTCCTTCTCCTCGGCCTTTTTCTTTTCGGTGATGCTGTCTTTGTCTTTGTCGCTGTCGTCGAGCATTTGTAGAAAGTCTCGGGTGACTTTGTCTTCGTCCGAGTCGAGCGCGTGGTCTCCCACGAGGGACTCGAGGGCTTTGATTTGCTGAGCGATGGAGTCGAGTGCCGTCAGACGCGTGACGCGCGTCTTGTCCCCGACGACCTCCTTCACGACCGCGCTCTTTTCCGATTTCTCTTCAGAATCTTCTTCTTCTTCATCTTCACGTACGGCAATCTCCACGCCTTTATCGACCACCTCGAAATCCGGCAATAACTCCTGGTCGTCCCCTTTTTTCAAGGGCTCGTCGAGGTTCAGCTCGTCCATCTCGTTCATACCATCAGTAGCTGTCATCATCCTGGGGCTAGGCACACTGAATGAAGTCTTGGAATGTTTTCTAGCGAACGAGGGTGAGCTCTTTGGCTTGGAGCCATGGCCGCTGTAAATCCCCGTGCCTCCATCCTTCTCCATGATCTGAAACCCGAGCTTGAGGACGAGCTCTCCCCCACGGGCCTTTCCCATGAGCCAAAAACTCCGGTCCCACTGCCTCATCCTGCTCCCTTCTAAGCTCTTCTCCACCGACTCCTGTATAAGCCGGCTCAGATCCACCGAATTTTTACCGAAATCTAATTCGTCAGCATCGATTGCGACCACGTATATGAGAAACGGGCGGGACTCGAATTTCATGTGGGTCCCGCTTCCTTGTGTGTAGTACACGTGGCATCTTACAAAGAGCGTCTCCTCGAAATCGGCTGCCCCCTGGGACACACGGGAAGGCATCGTCTGGACGGCCCCGTCCCTGTTCTCCTTCTTACGCACGCATACGGATAAGCGGAGGCCGTTCATCGAGGCTGGGAGGTTTTGTACGGTGACAACCTCGACAGAGAAGAGACAGCTCAGCTTTTGCATTCCGATGTGGGACAGGGCGCGAATTGGCTTCCAATTCCAAATTCCTTTCTTTTGCGGCAGTTCTTGCTCCGTGGGTTTGTCTGTCGAGCTCTGTCCAGTTTCGAGCTTCGGCCGGGAGCGCCACGGGGAGAGGGACATGCGGCGCTGGCGGGGCTGTCTAGGGTTGAGGGCATTTTCGTCTTTTATGGTGTCGGTCTGAATGGCTGTGCGGGAGAGGACGAGAGAGGCCGTCCGCCGGGTGGTGGTGTGGGATTGGTAGAGGGAGTCGCTCAGGGCCTCGAGTTCTTGGAGGATCTGTGTGTTGGATTTTCTCGTGTTGGTGTAGTCAGCTGCCATGATTTTTTCAACAATAGATGAACAAGATTGGGGTGGATTTTTCTGCGGGCGATTGAATTTGGTTTGGTGGTGTGCTTTTTGGGAGTTGGTTTGTGTGGTTTTAAGTAAAGCTGTAAAGGGATCTTTGTTTTGTATGAATGTTTGTGATAAATGGGTGGTGCTTTGTGAGCCAAGAATTTGGTGTGTTGTGTTTTGTGATGGATAAGGTTGAAACGTTTTTGTGTTTGGTCCAAACTTTATGCACAATTTATTGTTTGTCTAATTGCTTACAGTTTTGTACTTGTATGTAATTTTCCGTGTGAATTGTGCACAAACTATCACCGAATTAAATGTCTAGTTTGGGGTCTTACATTTCCGAATCGTGTGTTATTATGTCATAATCCACATGACAACTAATGAGTGACCCAAGTAATAATATTTTCACTCATCACACCTCAATCCACTCTTCAATATGTATTCGCTTATTATGCTTGGTGCAAAATTTGGAAAAAATGAATATTGATTTCTTGAATATAAAATTATAGATCACTGCAAATGAGAGCACAAAATGGTACGTCTGCTTATATAGCTTCCAAAATAGCTCGGAAAATCGACTTGAGTGGTTAGCTCAGATAGGATCGGTTCTGTTGCTTCACTTTTTATCACAAACTGAATTCAACCACCTAAGTCGTGAACCTCTTTCTTCCTTGAGCTCCGGCTACCTACAATACGCTGGGAGGGGAGACCGACAGGAAACTTTCGACGTTCAAGTCAGAACTTGCTCAACCTATATACACGAGAATTATCTTATATATTAATTCAAAACTTGCTGAGCTTAAGTGGCAGGCTCGCACGCTTTGGAATCTTACATGTCACAATATCATGCTTTATATTTAGGTTCGGATAAAAAATTTAGAAACAAAATTGGATTGGAAATTGCCATAAATAATTTTTCACCACACATTAATTATTGCCTCCCATGAATCTCTCTTTCATTATCAAATTTGTTATCACACAAATCTTTATTTCCTTATTTTATTGTACTAAGGATTTATCTCATTCATTAGTTTTTTTATTTTTTCAAGTTGATAAATTTTAGCCTATTTTTTAGTATGTGTCTTTGTTTGTGTACTGAATAATGATGAATTAAAATTATATATTATAATTAAATGGATAATATAACTAATGAAATCTTAACTAAACACGCCTCTTATTTTAATTATCATCCTTTATCTTATTTTCCCAAGTTGATAAATTTTAGCCCATTCATCATACGTTTTTTATTTTTCCAAGTTTATAAATTTTAAGTAGAACTAAAGAAATGTTTTAGATTTCGAAATAAAATATCATGTATTAATACAAGTGTAATTTCCGTGTGAATTGTGCACAAACTATCTTTTTTTTTTTTTCTCGAAACGTTGAATACATTAAACGAAAACAAGGTACACAGTACAAGATATACAACATTTACAGACTACCCTTGCTCCAACACCTGAGCAAGTAGGAAAGGGACAAACAAAGCTCAAGACATGAAAACAAAAAAATATACAAACTGCTGAAAGCAAAATATAATATATCCACTAAGCAAAAAACTGAACAATGGTCTAGGACTAGAGAAATCAAAACTAAACCAAAATCAGCAGTGAATCACGAACACCCAAAAGAACACGACTGAGGCACCCGAAAAGTGCACTGCTGCCATGGAGACAACCTACAGAGGAGTCCTGCAAAATATTACCCCTCGCAAAAGACAGACAAAAATAACCTGCTGCAAAACCAGTGAGACTTAGACAACTGAAATGTTTTAGCTGATCATATTCCATCCACTCTCTACGCGCGCCTCCAACTATTTCGGTTTCACTTTTCCAAACTTTGCTAAACACCAACAATTACGAATTTTCTATAGCCACCACAAAATATACGAAGTTAGACTCATACGATCAGTGATGTAAGCTACGGATTTCGAAAGGCATATGTCTTGCCACCACACTTTGAACGACATAGCCGGATTTTGCATTTCATTCCATTCTAGACCAGCAAGTTTCCAAACTGTCACTGCTCTAGTGCATTGGAAAAAAATGTGTTCCATGGTTTCATCCGAATTCCCAGAAATGCTACAAATGGAGTCAGTCATCCCAACCCTAATCTTCAGTTGGTCATAGGTACTAAGAAAATTATGCCAACATCGCCAAAGAAATTTTTTATTTTTGGTTTGATTTTAAGAGACCAAGTATTTTTCCACATGCGAGAGAGAGAAGATGAGGATGTACTAGATTCAGGCTGATTGATAGTACCTTTACAGAGTCGTAAACACTCTTTATAGGCAGACTTGACAGTGAAAGCCCCTGATTTTTCCAGCCTCCATTTCCACTTATCTTTAGAGACCCCTCTGTCTAGGTGTGTGGCCAGAAACTGTTGAGCATCCTTAGGGGAGAATGTCTGGGAAATTAGTTCTTTGTCCCAGGCTCTACCTGTGTCTTCAAAAATATCACACACCCTTTTGAGGGATAAGGTGTCTCTTTGAAATTGCACTGTTGGAGTATAACAAGGGACACTGGACAGCCAGGGGTCAGACCACAACAGAGTATCTGTGCCATCACCTATTTGCCTTATCAACGCCACCTTTAGCAGATCTCTTACCCTCAGCCAAGAACTCCAAAGCCATGAGTCAGAGGGCTTACGCTTTTCCTCGAATAGAGAAGTAGAAGGAAAGTACTTTCCTTTTAAAACTCTGGTCATAAGGAGATTTGGGTGATTAAGCAGTCTCTGGAGTTGCTTTGCCAGTAGTGCTTCATTGAAGGAATGTAGGCACTTGAACCCGAGACCACCTTCCTCTTTGGGTTGAGCTAATTTAGCCCATGAGGCCTAATGAATTTTAGCACTTCCATCAGTCTTCACTACCCACCAAAAGGCAGCTGATTTCCTACAAATTTCTTGGCAAATGGGCTTAGGCAACTTAAAGCATGACATGACAAAAGTGAGCAGAGCCCCTATGACTGTTTTCAATAAAACTTCATTGCCTGCTTCACTGAGAAAAACATTTTTCTAGTTGCTAAGCCTTTGCTCAACCTTTGAAAGAACAAAATCAAAAGTTTCTTTTTTAGACCTTCCTAAACCTAGGGGCAGCCCAAGGTATCTCGAAGTTTTAACTACAGAAATCCCAGGAATTATTGAACACACTTCAGCAATTGTTTCAGCAGTTGAGTTTTTAGAGAAGAACACCGATGATTTTTGGTAATTGACTTGTTGTCCTGAAGAGAGGCCATAAGCTTCAAGAATTTGAACAATGGAACAGACATGGAAACTGTCAGCTTTGCAGAAGATAATAGAATCATCTGCAAAGAAAAGGTGAGTTAGTGGAGGGGAAAGTCTGCTGATTTTAATGCCTTGGAATGAGCAAGAAATTTCAGCTTGTGTTAGAAGGTTGGATAGGGCTTCAGAGAGTATTATGAACAGGTAGGGAGATAAGGGGTCTCCCTGCCTGATACCTCTAGTGGGTTTACCAAAGCCAAAAGGGGATCCATCAATATTGAATGAGAAAGAAGTGGAACAGATACAAGCAAGGATCCAGGATAAGAAAATATCACAAAAGCCCATGGCAGCTAGAAAAGACCATTCTACTCTGTCGAAAGCCTTTGCCATATCAAGCTTTAGGGCCATGTAACAATCAGAACCAAATCTTTTACTATTGAGGAAATGTATACATTCATTTGCAAGCACAAAATTATCTATGAGCTGTCTGCCCGGGACAAAAGCGGCTTGGGATGGACTAATGCAGTTGTGAAGAACAGTTTTTAGTCTGTTAGCAATGATTTTGGAAATCAACCTGTATGACACATTGCATAAACTAATAGGACGAAAATCAGAGAGAGAAGCAGAGTTGTGTTTTTTGGGTATTAAAGTGACAACAGTATGATTAGTATGTGGGGGCATAAAACCAGAATTTAAGAAATGTTGAATGGCAGAAAATAGAGAATGCTTGACAGAATCCCAAGAAGCTTGGAAAAAATGTGGAGTCATACCATCAACTCTTGGCGCTTTGTTTGGGTCCCATAGAGCACTCTTGATTCTTCCAAGTCCACAGATCTGGTCAATCTATTGTTCATGTCCTCTGTGATGGAACAAGGAATTCCTTGCAGGCTGCAGCTATCCATAATCACTACAAGAAATATGAGTTTTACCAACGGAATAATCCGTTGGTAATGAAATTTTCCAACGGAATGCCAACGGCTTACCAACAGATTTTCTTGTTGCTATATGGCTTGTTACTAAATTTTGCCAATAGAAAATACAATCCGTTGGGAAAATTCCCAAAGGATTACCAACAAATTTGCAACGGAAATGCTTCATGAGATTGTCAATGAATTCCCAACGGAAAATGTAGTTGCTAAATCATTCCGTTGGTAAATTACTAACAGAAAGCCAACATATTAGTTACGAATATACTAACGGATTACCAACAGATTTTTTTCTCAACGGATTTCCAACGTAATTTTCCCAACGGATTATCAACAGATATTTTTTCAACGGATTACCATCGTAATTTTCCCAACGGATTACTAACGAAATTTTCCCAACGGATTGCCAACTAATATTTTTTCCCAACAAATTACCAACGAAATTTTCCCAACAGATTAGCAACGCATATTTTTTCCCAACGGATTCCCAATGGACTTTTCCCAACAGATTACCAACGGATTTTTCAGCAAAAAATAATAATAATAATAATAATAATATTATTGATCCAACTTGGCTCACCTTGAGCCCATGGCCACCTTGAACCACACGGCTCACCATGACCCATGGCCATCCACCAATATAATCCTTAGTAATTCTCAAAATTCTCCTAACAATAGGGCTTGAACTCAAGACCTCTTGCAAGTTAAAGAGGTAACAACACCACTAGGCTATATGAATGTATGAGACTGGATTCTACAATTCTTATATATATATAACACCACCACTCGGCTATATATATATATATATATATATATACGAGAAAATAATTAGTAAATATATATAAATTATATTCTATATTTAAATTCATAAATATTTCTATATTATTTATGATCTAACCGTTCAATTATATTAGGTGTTTTTTTTTAATGTCTAATTATAAAAATAGTGACTATATATATTAGTATCTATAAATTTATGACATTATTAAATGAACTAGTACGAATCCCGTGTGACGTACGGGTAAGAAATATGTATTAGATTTTATAGATTAAAAATACACATTAAATATTTATAAATTAAAAATATCGAATCAATGTGTAATACAATTTACCTATATTAACTTATTAAAATGTTATACGAAATTTAAACTGTGAAAAATTACATAAAATGTGTCTATTTAAATTAGTACACAACCCGTACGGTGGACTAACTGATAATAAATTATATAATATTTATTTCAAAATAAGTGACATTTTAAAAGAAATATTTGTAAATTCAATTACAATGTGATTCCATTATAGAAATATTTTGGTATAATTTTATCAAATATTTAAATATCTATTAAAATAATAAGTATAATTATAAAACTTATATTGTTTAGTTAATTAAAATGAATTTATTTTTGTATAAACTATCCAAACAAAAAATTTTAAGTAGTTGAGTAATTTATTAAATTAAATAATTAACTATTTCATTTACGTCAAAGTTAGTATTGACTCATACGTTATAAATAATTACTTATTTAAATTTTAAATTTGAAACTCAAATTTGGACTACACAATAAATTTTCATTTATATATGTATGTATACACACACAAACACAAATATATATATTCTCGCAATTTTCTAGATTTTTTGTCGGCCACCTTATCATTCAAATTTATTACCTCATTAAATAATGTTTACAAAATAAAAATATGGAATAAATATGTAATATAATTTACCTATATTAATTTATTGAACATATTATATGTAATTTAAACTGTGCAAAATTACGTAAATGTGTCTATTTAAATTAGTACACAACTCGTACAATGCACTAACTGATAACAAAATATATTATATTCCTTTCAAAATAAGTGTCATTATAAATTTTTTTATTCACAAATTAAAATAAATATTTTGGTAAAATTTTATCATATATCTAAATATTTTTATAAATAATAAGTACAATTATAAAATCATATATATGTATATATGATTTTTTAATATCATCTATCATCTATCATAATATTCAATACTCTAATTAAAAAACAATATCACAAAATTCAACGATAATACGGCCTAATTACTAATTTTACTTTTAAGCTTAACATATTTAACAATGTCATAAAATCATATATATATATATATATGATTTTTTTAATTATTATGATATATAACAAATTCTAAAAATGAATGAAATGCATATGTGGCACATATTTATTTTGAATTGATTTAAATATTTTTAAATTAATTACATAACTAAATAATGTTAGTGTAAATTAAATATTTATCATTATATATATATATATAAATAATTTTACTTTGTAAGTGTTATAAATAATAATAATAATGACATTATACGATTTGGAAAGAGTTTGTTGTTATTTCGTTGTTATTTACCAACGGAATAATCCGTTGCTAATACAATATTGAATGTGTCTGTTGCTATTCCGTTGCTATTTGACAACAAAAAAATTCTGTTGCTATCTACCAACGGAATAGTCCGTTGCTATTACAATTTTGAAAGAGTTTGTTGTTATTCCGTTGCTATTTGCCAACGGAAAAAATCCGTTGCTATTTACCAACGGAATAATCCGTTGCTAATACAATATTGAAGGTGTTCGTTGCTATTCCGTTGCTATTTGCCAACGGAAAAAATCCGTCGCTATTTACCAACCAAATAGTCCGTTGCTATTATAATTTTGAAAGAAATTGTTGCTATTCCGTTGCTATTTGCCAACGGAAAAAATCCGTTGCTATTTACCAATGGAATAATCCGTTGCTAATACAGTATTGAAGGTGTTCGTTGCTATTTGCCAACGGAAAATATCCGTCGCTATTTACCAACCAAATAGTCCGTTGCTATTATAATTTTGAAAGAAATTGTTGCTATTCCGTTGCTATTTGCCAACGGAAAAAATCCGTTGCTATTTACCAACGGAATAATCCGTTGCTAATACAATATTGAAGGTGCCCGTTGCTATTCCGTTGCTATTTGCCAACGGAAAAAATCCGTTGCTATTTACCAACGAAATAATCCGTTGCTAATACAATTTTGAAAGAGTTTGTTGCTATTCTATTGGTATTGTGTTTGTGTTTACTAACGGAATATTTCCGTCACTATTTGCCAACGGAATACAAAGATATAATTTTCGTTGCTATATTTTGTTAGTATTCTATTGGTAATCTATTTATAAAAATTGTATATATAATGCATTACTAATCCGTTGGTGATCCGTTGGTAATCTCCAACGGAAAAATTTTTGTTGGTAATTTTTGTTGGCATTTTGACAATTTCTTGTAGTGAATGGGCTTTGATGTCCTGTATAGGTCTGAGAAGAACATCTGCACTGCTTTGAGGATTTCTCTTTACTCTCACATCTCTGTTCTCTGCTGTTAACAAGGCTCTCAATGCAGTTGGCTCTTCTCCTTTGCTTGACACTTGCATGAAAAAATCTAGTACACTTATCTCCTTTTTTAAGCCAGAAGTTTCTAGCTTTCTGAGCCCAATACCTCTCATCATCTCTGTATGCTTTGTGCAGCTGAGTCTTGGTAGAATCCCATGCATTCCAATTTATGTGCTCTCCTTGTTGGTGTAAAACTGAGAGTTTTTCTTTCAGAGCTCTGATCATCTTACTAGAGTTTGGCATGCTGGTTGTTTTCCATTTGAGCAGCTCTATCCTGGCCTTTCTGATTCTATGTTGAAGGCTGCTCAGATCAGACCTAGGATTATCCATAGACCAAGCTTTTTTCACAGTTTCAGTGAACCCCTCACAACCAACCCATCTGGAATCGAAGTAAAATCTCTTTTTCTTATGGCAATCTGGACCAAGAGCATCCATCATTAATAGACAGTGATCTGAAGAGAACATAGGCAGTTGATGAACTTCAGCTTTAGGGAACTTAAGAGCCCAATCAGGAGATGAGAAAAATCTGTCAAGTCTAGCCTCAATGAGATCCTTCCCTTTCCTGTTATTTGACCAGGTGTACGGGTGGCCCTTAAACATGACCTCTGCAAGCCCTAGTCTACTAATAAAGGATAGAAAACTAGAAAAGCTCCCTAAATGCCTAAGACACCCTTTTTTTTTTTTTTTTACAGAATTTGACAGTATAGCATTGAAGTCTCCTCCCATGAACCACAGGTTACCCCATCTAGGCTTAAGGTAAGAAAGGAAGTTCCACTGGGCTTCTCTAAAATTTGGGTCTGTGCTAGCATAGATGAAGATAGCCCAGTGAGGATCACTATTATGACTATATTTAGAACATACTTCTATACAAAAATGATAACCTACAAGGGATATGATTTCAATTTTTAGGGACCAATACAAAAGGAGTCCTCCTTTAGTGCCCTCTGGCTCAACAAAAAACCATTTGTCTTGCCATTTAAGCTTTTTACAGACAGTGTTCACAAAACATTTGGATTTTTTTACTTCAGAAAGAAATAGCAAATCAGGAAGGTGGGACATTAAGGTCTCCTTGAGCTGGGGAATTGTAGAGGGCCCTCACAGATCTCTACAATTCCACACCCCAACCTTCATTTTAAACTTGGGGACCAGTTATGGCTGGTTGCCTCCACCATGTTGGACTATGTTGGGTGAGTAGGTTCAGACATTTTGGCTTTTTTGTTTTGAGAGGGGTGAGAACTGGTATTGTCTTCCTCAGAAGACAAATTTCTTTTCTTGGTATATTGCAGTTGAGAGTTTTCAGCTGTAAGATTGACATCAACAAGCATGTTTTCCTTAATACTTCTTCTTCGCACCTTAACTGTCCTAAGTGATGGAGTTTTGGAAGTGTTTCCAACACTAGCAGACATAGTCTTGGGCAATGAAGATATATTAGGACCTGTTGTAACAGGGACTTCAATCAAAGAGCTGGTCTCCGCTGCACTGGGATTGATGACATTATGATCCCGATTAGTGGTTGTGTTAAGAACAGGTTCACTAACAGGAGCTATGCTATGGATTTCAGTCTGGGGAGTGGGAACAACACTGGGGGTGGACATTTGTTGGTTCTTCGGTGAAGGTTCAGACCTACCAAGGTTAGAAGTTTGGCTTTTGATAGACTCTTCTTTCTCATGGGATTTTTCTAGACTACCAGAAACTGAAGAAGTCTCTCTGAGTCTAACCCCACCACCTCCACCTGATTGGGCTCTTAGCCATTCCCCGAATTGCCTGGGTTTAAGGACCCCATTTTTGATGTCATCTTTTTTGCCGATGCAACTTTTATCATCATGATCTATCCGCCCACAATAGAAACAGAAAGCTTGAAGGTTCTCATACCGGAAATGGACCCAACGATAGCAGGACCCCAAACTGATATTGGCTCCCCTGTGTAAAGGTTCATGCAGGTCAATCTCCACTAGGACTTTAACCAGCCTGCCGTTTATACTTCATGCTTCCGGTATATGCACAGCGATTGCGTTGCCCAAGAGTTTAGCAATTTTCAGTCCCGTATCCTCCGATATCCAGTGAAGTGGTAAGTTTAGAATTTGGACCCAAAGTTGAACTTTGTCTTGACCAATCCAGCTACTAATTCCCGGCTGTCATTCCTGAAGAAGGATATATTTCCCATCAAAATTCCATGAGTTGCCTTTAAGAATTTTCTGTTTATCGTCCTCTTCTTGGAACACGAATTGGAATGTGTTATGCCCAATAATACGGATTGAGAAAGGTTGTTTGTTCTCCAGATACTATTTAGGGTAGCTTTCATTCCCCCGAAATTGACTTTTTTCTCACCGTAGACTTTGCCAAGCAGACTAAGCTGGGCACTCTTGAATCCCGGTTGTAATATCATTTGTTGTGAGGGCTATACCTGCTTCTTCCTTAGATGATAAGTCAAATTTCCGTAGTTGCGATATTAGGTCAGGATCCATAACAAGGGTCCGCCTTCCTTGTGCACACCAAGAGTTCGGAACAATAGAAGACTAGATCTGTGAGACCAAATGAGACCAAGAGGCTCCTGTAAAACACAACAAAAACAAAGATCGGACAAGAGAGGATGTTAGATCGCATAAAGAATTGTAAAAGAATTAGGCGAGAGAATATTAGGTCTAAAAGAGGGATAGATAAACGCGAAGTGGAAACTGCGGTAAGAGAGGGACATTGAGAACAGAATCAAGAGGGTATCTCCATTCAAACTACTAATAATGAAACAAGCTGAAGCGGATCTCCAATTTCTGGAACTCAAGAAACCCTAAGTGGGACTTTTTCTCCAATTTCTGGAACTTTAATTTTATTATTATTATTATCTAATTGTGCACAAACTATCAACGAATTAAATGTCTAGTTTGGGGTCTTACATTTTCGAATCGTGTGTTATGTCTTAATCCACATGACAACTAATGATTGACCTATTACACCAGTGCGTAGTCCGTGCGATGCAAGGATAAATAATATTAAATAATAATTATATATTAAAGATGTAAGTAAATAATATTAAATCATAATTTTAAATTAAAGATTTTGGTAAATAATATTAAGTAATAATTATAAATTAAAATTATTGGGTTAACATGTCATATAATTTATGTATATCAATTTTTTGTAAATAATATAAAATTATCTTGTATAAAAAATAAAACATATACTTTTGAAATATTAAAAGTATCTAAAATATTATATAACATATATAAAAGTTTCTAAAATGTTATATATTATTACTGAAAAATGTGAAGTCACTTAAAAGTTTTCTAGATATGTATGAAGTAAGTAAAATATGTCTGTAAACACTTAAATTAAATACATATATACATATAAAATATTATAGGCGTGAATATGTATGACAACCTAAAAGTTTAATATTTATAAATATATCTATATATATATATACACACACATATATATATATATATAGTATAGATATAGAATAATATTGAAATGATAAATAATATTAGTTGGTACCGAGAATTACGCAAACGTGAGGTGTGAAAATTTTAATTTAACTTGTTTAACACAAGTTTTGTACGTGAGATGAAATTGTACGTGAGGTGAGGGTGTTTAACAAAAGAAGAGGTCTATTAATATATAAAGAGGCAACCCCAAAAATCTTAAAATTGTAAATAAAAATTATTCGCAAATCCCGCCTAAATATTTATCAATAATAATATTTTTTTTTTAAAAAAAAAATTGCATTATCCCGCCTATTCAAGCCTGATTTTATTTTCAAATTTTCAAAAATCTAATCTTAAATTGCAGATTTTGGAAGTATATCCGGTAGTTATTTATTTATTTATTTTTTTTTTGTTATACTAAATACTACTGTTATCTTTACCTATATATAATGACGTGGTGGAAGTTATAAACCTAATAAATGTCCACGCAACTTTTTGATACCGAATTTTAATTTGCTATATTTTGTAACTTTTAAGGTTATCGGTGTTTAGACATTTACAATAAAAAATGTAATAGACATTCTTATTATTTTTTACCCCAAAATTTTATGTCCTCAATATATATATATATATATATATATATAAAGATTTGTATTTACCTGAAATAGTAACTAAAATCTCGCTTAAAAATTTCATTTATATATTTATTAGTCACTTTTTTAAATATTTTTGATAGGTGGCGCCCAATCATTAAAATTCAAATTAAATAAATTAATATAATTAATTTACATAATCATTTTGGTCAAATATGTCGGATATTACCATTCAAATGATGCATATATATTAGGTAAGTATATCAAATAATCACAACTTCAATTAGGTCTCTTCAAATAATACGCCAGATTCAAATGTTTTTAAGAAATGAAGGAACAATTGGCAAATTATTTTAAGAATTAAGATATGCTTTTGAATAGTTTTTTTCTTTTTCTTTTTGCTGTTTGTATAATAATTAATAACAATATGAATAGGAGACTGCCGTGTTAGAATATGACATAAAAGGCTGGGATTTCTTTACTTTATTCTAGATATTTATTTATTTATTTATTTATTTTTGTGCGTGAGACCGTTTCAATTGAAATGTCAAACTAATAACCTAAGTACACATTTTTGTTAAACGTTTAAAGGGTCGACTCGCCTAATGATTAGGCGGACTCACACGATAATTTATGTTCTGACATTTGTAATAAAAGAAAATTCTGTTGTATAATGTGATATACTTTTTGTTTATATTATATTTTAAAGTATGAGTATCGATTTTAAACTTTTGTAATTTTGCAACAATTTAAATTCCATATAACATTCTTAATGAATTACTATAGGTTGTATTATATATTGATTCCATAGTTTTAATTATAAATATTATTTAATAAGTATTTTTGACTTATAAATATTAATAAATATCTCTTACCCGTACATCGCACGGGATTCATACTAGTTATCAGGGAAATAAGAGCACTCTCAAATCTTAATGGGTAAAACATTTTAAACTTCCGCCAAGTTTTGGTCTAACTTCTAGTGCGTTGTAATTATCTGTTTAAAAATTATAAAATTTTTGATTGACTCAAGTTATAAACATATGTTAAAAGTTATTATATTTAGTATTTGTTATCGATTTTTCATATGTTCAGACAAAAATTATTTATTAATATTAATTAAAAAATAATAAAATTATTTATCAATTAAATAAATTTATCAATAAATTTATTATATCACATGAGGTAGAAAAATTACTACAATGCAAGATGAGCACGTCATTTTAAATATCATAATAATTATTTGAAAAATAAAACAAACACTTCTCTCTTTTAAAAAAATAAATAAAAATTTCGTAATTATCACGTGTATAATTACACGGGTGACCACAGTGGCTCAGTCGAGAGACACCGTTGTAGATTTCTCATTTTTAGGCGCTGGGTGTTGATTTTTTTTTTTATTTTTTTTTTAATTATAAGTTAGATTCATGTTGTCATTGTTCTATTATTACATCAACCTTTCGCAATTATCATTCATTTCAGTTATTGTATGCATTAAAAACTTTTATCCATGTATTTTGTCTTCATATGATCGTTTGTTCGAAACACATGATGAATGTTGTATGCGTAAGAAAATTTGGCTTTGTACATGTAAATCAAAGCTTTAGAAAATTCTCAAAATCAATATAACATCAATATACCATGAAAGAGAATTTAAGGTAGTAGATATGGAAAAATATAGTTTGAAAAGTTTAAGTAACTAAAAAATTGTTAAATGTGCAAGCATTTGGTATTTGACAAATACTCAGCAAATCTAACGAGTTGTAACTATGCATTGAGCATGCTAGATCTCTAATAGGGTTCAACGGGGATAAATAGGAAAAAATTGGTCACAATTTGGAGTCCAAATGAGCGCGTGCGGGCTCACGGCACGTGGGTGCAACTGGCTCTGTCACGGCCGTGATACCTGCTAGTGCTAGCATCTGATTCTAATTTTCAATTGGGTAACACTTGTCGAGACCCACATGGTCGCGTCCCCTGGTGTCTGTAAGTTGTCCTTTGACTTTCGAGTACGTCCATTCTTGTCCGGGCATGTCCCAAAAATTGTGTTTTAACACTTTCCTCTTGAGGTGTTTTTCTACATCTATAAGTACTCCCTATAAATACTCCCCTGCATGACTCACTCAATGCAATTGCAATTAAAGAGTTTTTGTGTTATTTAATTTTTCATTGAGTATTAAGAATTTCAAACATTAGTATTGTTCGTCGAAAACTTGTATATATCAAGTATATGTAATATACAAGTCAAAAGTCGTCTTGAAGGCGTCTACCGCAAACCGTGGGTATTTTTCATAGCAAAAAATGCAATTACTGCATGCCTTGACTTTCATTTTTGCTTCTATTTTCTTCATCTTCCTTAAGTCATTTTCTTGAATATCACATGCCATCCAATAAAAATCTTAAGACGAAATTTGGTGAGTTCATAATATGGCAACCGAAGAAACCAAGCGTTTTTCAATTGCTGGGCCAAGTTCTACGCCGGCTATCAATTCATTCACTCGGATGGTAGCTGCCCCATTCAAGGCAAGGGACCGCCAAAATTCAACTCGATAACAAAAGGTGTTAGTTTATCGTACCACCCTTTTCTTTCTCGTTTTCTCACGAAAGACCGTTCAGTTGTCAGTTGTTCCTCAGGAAGACATAGATACATGTAGCATATGGAGCCAGATGTTTGGCGTATAATGATTTCTAGTGTAGAAGTCTCATACTTAGCGTAACAGGCTAGACGAAGAAGAAGAAGAAGAAGAAGAAGAAGAAGAAGAAGAAGAAGAAGAAGAAGAAGAAGAAGAAGAACATCTGGTTCTGGCTATGGAACACAATTTGCTTCTCATACTAAGTACTAACAGAAAACATCAACCAACTCATCAAAAGAGTGAAAGACCATTCTGCAACTCCAATGCGACCTAAGAGAATTACAAATGGAACATAGAAAACAAGATTCGGGAAATAATGCTCCTAAGTCAACAAACAATATCATCAACAAACTTCACCAACCGACCGGAAACCAATTCAGGAGGTGCGGGCCAGGATTTGATTACCTCGATAAATGTCCAGAAGTTCCGGAACATCCTTCTCGTACTTCTCGATATATCTCTTCAAGAAAGTCTTCTCGGACACTGTAAGCAAGGACGTGAAGGCCACATTCGTCAGCCCTTTCTCTCTCAAAACCATAGCAACTGCCCACCTCGGCTTCAATCTCTTTTCGACGCTGAACCCAAGAAGCAAAGGACGCCGAGCCATGTAACCTGGTGCATACCCAAATTTATCGACAAGAAAAGCCATACTCTTCAATATGTTCTTCTCGGACAAGGCCATACAAAGCGGCTGCCTCAGAAAGGCGGTCTTGATGTCGGATTCCGACCAGCCGCACTTTCTATAAATCTCCATCTTTCTCTTGAGGATCGACTCCTCAAAACCCAAAACCCGAATGGCTATCAAGAATGTATTACTGGTCACGTCAAACCCCATTTCTCTTGCTCGATCCACGCACAAGGATAACTTCTCCTGAGGAGCCATGAGTATTGTTGGCTGGTACGTGAAGAGTGAGACGAGAGATGGCCGAGGGACCCCGCAGTCGACAAGAAACGACAAGTTGGACGAGAGGTCGTCGACCCAGCCCCTGGCGAAGAACTGGGGAGCCCGTTTAAAGACTTTAACGGCCCCCTCATCAGATCCGAGCAGGTTTTTCAGGAAATCATATGAGGGGATGATTGAGCTCTCAAGGCTGCGCCATAAGATGGAAGGGTTCCGGGACAGCCTGCTGGCCAGGATGGGGAGGGGGACGCCAATGGAGGCGAAAAATTCGAGCTTGGGCAAAAGGGTTTTGTCTGGGTAGGCAGAGAGAATGGTCGGCCACCGGGAGACCATCATAGAGATGTCGGCGGCCGTGAATCCGTACTCTCTGAGGAGATTCAAGACGGCGTCTGGATTTTCAGGCGATTTCAGCTGGAGTTTACTGGAGGCGCGGACGGCGGCGTCTGGGGCCAACCCGCATGAGCTGACGAGGTAGGAGAAGGTGAAGGATTTCTCGGAGTCATTTTCGCGAACACCTGGCGGTGGTTTCCCGGAGGTGAACGGCCTTGAAAAGATTGCATTTTCAGAAGTCCGAAATTGAGGGGAGACGAAAACAGAGAGGTCTGGAGGGAGCCTGAGTCGTCTGCCACGAAAAAAGGAGAACATTGATTCGAAATCCGATTTTGAATTCAACGGACTTCGTGAGATGACGCGAGCAGACGAGGGTTTGAAGATGTGTATCGGTATTTGTTGTCTTTTTCTGGCGATTTAGAGGGAAGTGTATCGCGTTTCTTCTGAGAAACGTGTCAGCGTTTGACAATCAGCACTTTTTGTGTTCAATTTTATTTACCTTATAAATATTTTGTTGTATGTTTTCTTTTTGCTCGGTAGCATTATCGACTCCTAGTGGTTGTAGACTTGTAGTTATGGGTTTTATAATTCTATGTATTGAATCTTGTGCTCTAATATTATATGTCGATTTATCGTGTTCTGTTAGAGTATTTAAATTTTTATTTATATCTGTTAAAATTTTAAAAATTATAAAATACGTGATTAACTCAAGTTATAAATATATTTTAAAAGTATTTAAATTTGTTATTAGTTTTTATATATGTACATAAAAAATATATTATCTATTAATACTAATTAAAAGTAATAAAATTATTTATCAGTTAAAAAAATTTATCTGGAATTTTGTTATATGATATGAGTTAATAGTTATTATAATGCATGATGATTAAATAGTACACGTAACAAATACATTTCTCGCTTTTAAAAATTAAATAAATATAAATTTCACAATGTATAATTACAATAGTTGACCAGAGTGGCTCATTCTAGAGGCAACACTGTATATTTTACTTTTTCAATTGTTTAACTTTCTGGATTCTAAGGACATATTCATCTTGTCATTGTCCTATTACTAAATTAACTTTTTGCAGTTATCATTTGTTTCAGTTATTGTATGTATTGAAAACTTTTATCTATGTATTTTGTCTTTATGTGATCGTTCATTCGGAATATGTGATGAATGTTGTATATTAAGAAAACTTTATTTTGTACCTATCAATGAAAGACTTAGAAAATTATAAAAACCAGTATAAGGTGAATGGAAAATTAGTATAAGTAAAAAAAATATAAGTTTGAAACAAAAAATTGAGTTTAAGTAACTAAAAATTTGTCAAATTCGCAAGAATTTGCTATTTGACGTATACTCGGACAAACCTAAGGAGTTATAATAAAGCCATGAGCATGCCAAAACTCTAATAGTGTTTAATTGTGACAAGTAGAAAAAATTGGGCACGATTTGGAGTCTGGATAAGTACATACGGGCTCACGACACGTGGGCGTGCAACTAGTTCTATTGCGGTCTGCGATACCTACTCGCGTCCGCGACCAAGTTTAAACTATCTAGCGCGCCACTCGTCGTGACCCATGATGAGTCGCGTCCCCAGGTGTCCGTAAATTGTCCTTTGACTTTCGACTTTCGAGTGCGTCCATTCTCGTCCGGACATGTCCCAAAGTTATGTTTTAACACTTAAACCTCTTGTGGTGATTTCCTACATCTATAAATACGATCGTGCATTATCATTCAATGCACTTGCAATTAAGGAATCGTGCATTATCATTCTATGCTCTTGCAATTAAAGAACCTTACATTACATTTTTCGAAGTTCATATAGCATAGTGTTATTTAATTTTTCATTAAGTATTGGGAGTTTCAAACATTGGTATTTGTTTGTCGAAAGCTTGTATATTTCAAATCTATATATATATATATATATAAAGAGTGCGTTGATGGAATTGTGGTTACTAATAATAGTAGTAAATGCTTTTTTGGGAATGATATCAATGATATATTTGGAATTATATATATAATTAGTATTTTTTCCTTTCTGATTTACTAAATCATTCATGGTAATAGTTATCAATTTAATATATAATTAGTATTTTCTATGACCTGAAAGACGATATCTTCAATTGTGTTTGGTGTTATTTAACGGTTGTTCATATTGAAATTGTATATCTTTTAGTGTTTTAAAATATTTATAACATAATTCGTCGAGTTTTGGTTCTTATACTACGTAGCGTAAATAGAATTTCATGTTGCGTAAGTTATAAGAGTATAAAATTTAGTTTGTTAGAAATATCAAAATATTTTCATATAATAAACTGTGTGGTTAATTAAAAAATTATCTTAATACATATTACATGACAATAGATTTTAGAATAAAATAATAGTTGAGTATTATGATGAATAAAAAGAGGGTGATTTTATTTTGGTATAAAATGACCGAATATAAATGGTATGAATTTCATTTGGTATGGATAGAAGTGTATTTTGAAAATTTAAAAATAAATTAAGTTGTATGAATTTTATTTAGTATGGGTATGAAAGTCGAATTTTAGGTTGATTTGTTATAAAATCAAGGTGATATGATTCTCAAATTTTAGCATATTCCCATAATAACTTGCCATAAGATATTCGTGATAATTCGACAAAATGGTATGTATTCCTCGTGGAAATTATAAAGATCTTTGAACATATATATGTTAATAAAATTTAAAATTTGTATGTTAGTTTTAGGGAATTAGTTGATAAATTTAAACGACAACAAATCTATAAAATTTCGAGATTAGTAAAATATAGATATGTATAAAATATATAAGGATATTTATTGTTTAGTTCGAATTTGGGTTCCAAATTTAAAATAAAAATAAGTAATTATTCATAACTTACGGGTGAATAATAACTTTGACGTAAATAGATTAGTCAATTATTTATGATTTATTAAATTACTCAACTACTTAAATTTTTTGATTTGAATAGTTTATGTAAAAATAAATTTATTATAATTAATGAAACAATATAAATTTTAATATTATACTTATTATTCACAAAGATTTTTAGGTATATGATAAAATTTTATAAAATAATTATTTTATGGAACCACGTTGTATTCAAATTGAATTTCTGAATAAAAAATTTAAAATGACACTTATTTTAAAATGAACATAATGTAATTTATTATCAGCTATGTGCCATGTATGTATTGTGTACTAATTTTAAATAGATATGTTTTATGTAATTTTGCATAATTTAATTCATATAATATTTTAAATAAATTAATATAGGTCAATTGTATTGCATATTGATTCCATATTTTTAATTTATATATATTATTTAATGAGTGTTGATAAACGGATTTGACCAACGTGATTAAGGTTTAAAACACAATGAAAGTTGTAGAAAATAGAGATTTTATTGAATTTGCTGAGGTCGGTTACAGAGTATGGTAAGTTGGTATTACAGTGCAGGAGGTCGGTAACAGAGGAAACCGAGGTAATAAATGCTTGAATTTAATGTGTTCGAAGTCGATCCTCGTATCGATTTTAATGCTGCTATTTATAGTTATATCTGGCACACCTTCCAAGAGAAGTCGGCGGCATTTAATGCAGATATGACGGCTAAGGGGCGGCTATGATTCCAGTAGACTTTTTTAGGCAATGATGAAAGTATGGGCACCCCTTTGACTGAGTGACAGGCGTCACTTCTGTCGGGGCGAAATCGGGTTCTCGTGACATCGGTCGTCCTACAGGGTTGTGACCTTCTATGACCTTCCAATAGGACTCTTTTCGAACCGAGGTGATGATCCCGAGGTGTTTGTGCAATGCTGGGACGATCTTAGGATCTGCTATTTGCATCTTGAAAACCGAGGTGGTATGACCGAGGTGTTGATTTGATACTACGATGGCGCTGAGGACCTCCATTGCAGCTAAGGCTTCTATTAATTAATCCTAAGGTCCTCTTAAGTTCACTCAGAATATTCTTAACCTGTGGTATTCGGTTTGATGCCAACATAGAGGCCCCTGTCGTTAAGGAGCATGCAGATAAGCGTGCTTCTTAATGACACTTTCTTCTCGACCGACTTTCGCTTCGGAAGTTTTCGCAAATCATTTAAAAGTATGCCGAGGTGATTCCCTTAGACGAGAATTACACATTTTCTCAATCAATAGACTTGCATAGGATCAAGAGACGGTTACGAGGTAGTTTCCAGAGGCTGCGAACATGTCTTTCCCACTACTCTTCTTCAATGGACACATACCATAAATTACGGGTATGAATTCTTACAGTTTCGAGACACGTGTACGTCCGAGATTACTCTTTTATACATTTACGATGAGACTAAAAAGATTTTCCCCAAACGTCGTGACGGTTACACATGCCTCTCCATTCCCAACGGTCGGAAAGTTTCGACGATATATATCATGGCAGTCTCGGTTTGCAACATCTTCATCTAAACTGCTTACTTATCTTTCAATTTTCTGAATATTTCTTCCATCTTCTCTTTCGTTCTTCATTCATCCTTTGACAACTCGCGATATTCCTTGAGAGCTCTCCCAAATTTTAGGTAAGCCCTAATTTCATCTTTCAATTTCTTAATTTCTATTTGTTTTTTCGGGTCGTGGTTATGGCGATGAACGTCGAGCAAGCAGAACCAAGCAGCAGTCAGACTGTGTCAGATGCGGAGTTAGATGAGGAGTTGATGGAGCTGATGGGCGATTATTACTGGTGGGACCTTGTTTACGTTGAACGTTTGGATATTCGAAGGAACAACGTCGAGGGTGATGCCGAGGTGGAACGAGATATCCCATCAACTCGGGATATTGGAGTCGCCCGGCTAGGCGTTGGCCTGCCGACGACGTATTATTTCCAGGGGAGCCCAGCATCATGATTGATGCCGATGTGGTCTTGCAGCGCGAGACGGTGCGGATCCCTGTCTCGATTAGAATCTTCGCCCCTTATCCAGGAGAGATAATTCATTGCCCTCCTCCTGGTTGCGTGGGAATTTTTGCTGAAAGTTTGAGGTCGGGTTTGAGATTTCCCCTCGACAACGTGATCACCGACTATTTGCGCGATTGGGGTCTTAGCCTTAGTCAGATAACTCCAAACAGTTGGAAGAAAATCATAGGAATTATGGTCCTTTTGGCACAGAAAAACTGCCATTTCCGACGATCGATGAATTAAGGAGCATTTTTCTCTTCAAAAGGAGTAGGGAACGTGAAGGCGTTCCACCAACTGGTTGTTTATTCTGCACGGCGCAGCCACAATACGACTTGAGGATGGGACAACTAATCACGGGGATTCTGGAAACCCTTCATGG